AGCTCATAACTTGCTTCAGGATAACGCTAAGCAGCTAGGATGTTAGCTAGCTATATGTTTCATCATGAAAGGCCAATCTAAGTTAGTATCCTTCCCTTGTAAGTTATTGCCCAAAGTTCTATGTAAAAGGGGGGAGGGTTAGCAGAAACTGATCGATTCTCTGGTGTACTTGTAGGTCGATGGCTCGCTGAGGGGTAAAATAGAAAATGAATTATTGCATCGATCAAATACAAACAATCCGATTGAAATCGTAATACCGGGCAGTACGCAGGCGGTAAAGTTTTATATAATTGGAGTGCGTTATCACACTTTCACAGAAGATGAGGAAGGTTTAGATCGTTGTTGGTCCTGGTGGGACGGCGAAATTGTTGGATAACGATGCATCGTTGTCAATGGTGGCCGACATTCCACATAATATTGATATACATCATTATTGTGATTCATTACACGCTCGAAACGTAGGAATTTTTTTCTAGTGGTAGTAGGGTTTGATTATTACTCAGTGTTTAGGTATACCGGTTGAGAGATAGTGAAGCTGTTATGCTTCAGTCTTACTTGCGAGTCAGGGACTTACCAATGATTGAAAACCCGGTTGTTTTCGAATTCGATCATGCTGAAAGATGTGAGGAAGTTGTCCGGACGCAGTCAGCGAACCGTTACTTCAATCGCATGGTTGTAGTAAAGGTCATGTTATGAAAGTGTGGTGGAGTTGTTAATTTAGCCTCTGCCTCGTATTTTTCTCCCGGGTCACGATTGCTGGACAAATTGCCATAAGGGCATAATGGCGTATGATTTGATGTGGTCTGCAGAGCATTTAGGGTAATTGTTGTGTAATGTTATTACTGAATGGTCGTCATGAAGTTTTTTAGGATTGAGGAAAAAATCGTAAAGTGTGTCAATTTTGGTCTTATCGATTATATACGTTCTCGCAATTTACTCAGAGGAAAAATTCCTAAGCTCAACTGGGGCGAGGTATCGTAGCCACTTCGTCGTTACCGATGGTGATGAAGTGCATTGCAGTCATGCTTTGATCGTTTACCGTGGAAATGGAACATCATTAGTGATGTAAACAACAACGCTTGTCAACTGGAGCTCATGTTCCATGATGAAGATGATGGATTATCTGTGTTTCAATACATAACGGATCGTCACGCAGATTTTAGATATCGAGATGATCAATTGCATCCAGTTCAGGTACTCTTAATTGTCTTGGAATAGTAGGCGATTTACCTATGCGCCTTTAGATAACTGTTCGTCCCTCATATAACATTCTGTTACCGGTGACTTACCAAGTAAGAGTATGCTCTGACAAATTTCTAAGGTGAAGAAGGAGATAAGATATGTTCTTGTCTAAGCATTTCTGTCAGAGATCTTTATGAAGAAGAATGTAACGAGGTTGCTGGGTTGGGAGATCGAAATGCTTACTTGAAAATAGGAGACGTTAGTTGGAAAAATGGGTGTGAAGAAGATGATAACTGTTTTGGAGAAATTCGAATTGGAGGATGGCCGTTCGAGTAAGTCTCTTGTTTAAGACTTGTTCGAGATAGTCAAAATAGGCAGAGTATTGTTTGTAGAAATGTGCAACGGGTTGCTGCTCGAATGATTTCTTTCTTTTCTGGCTTCTCTATCGATTGTTCGGATCCTGCGAATAATATACTTCTACACGGGTATCATGGAGGGTCTTAATTTGTGAAATTTCCATTTTAGTTTCTACATTATAGCTATGGCGCTTCGTATGTGGAATTAGCTCGCACCAAATTCAGAGGAAAGGCAGTTATAGAGACTGATGTGCTAAATGAAAAAATCAATCTTGTTGGTTGCGGTGCCGAGCGAGCTATGCGCAAATTGAGCTATTTTGTGAAAAATAGGTTGGTGGCGATGAATTTTCTATTTTCTTACTTTTGAGTTAGTAGATTATAATTTGAGGAATGAGTTTATGTTGTCGTGTAGCACACCTGTAGAGAACTTCCTGTGCTCCCCGCTCAGAACTATTCTCATCGCTTCTCCTTGTTATTTGGAAAAGTTGAGGTTGCTGATGTTTACACGAGTGTTCACACTTTCAGTGTAAGCTCAATGACTTGCAATTTTACAGAAAATATGTTTGCTGTTCAAAGCTGGAATTGGTTAACAAAACTCACATCAACTTCGAGGGGACAGTGCAGCAATATGATTTATTATGCGCGTTCTTTGGGAAGATGGACATTGAGGTACGTTTTTGAGTCTAGGAAGTAATCGGACTTGTTTTCTGATGACGTTCCTGTTTGTTGTAGATCGCAAATCGTCGTGACGTGACGTTTTCTCGTGAAAAGTGCCCTATTTGTTTTTGTCCAGTTTCTAAACCAATGTATACTTTATGCTGTGGCCATAGTTATTGCTTT